GAATCTTTTCTGAATCAATTCAGAGAGCTTTGAATCAATTCAAACTTTTTAATTGGTCTCCTGATTCAATTCAGATTTGGTATTTTGGCCGCCAAATCTGGCCGAACTTCCTCTAAATAGAATCAGCACTTGAAGCTTCACACAGCCCTAATATCCACACTTTAAACAGACATTCCAGTATGTCAGCTTTAATCTGTTAACAACTTGCATCAGCAGAAACATGTAAGCCTTCCAAGCCAAGCTGCAGAAAGCAAGCTTAGGTGTTTGCTGATTAGTTCTGTATAAGCAGAATGGGAATGAGCAGAGCCTAATGGGTGATAGATGGTAGACGGCTGAAGACGATATTCTCGCCATTTTATACACTGCTCCGTGCTTGTCCTTTATAGCATCTGATGAAGTGAGTTCAAGCTTAAGCAAGCTTATGCTATATATTTAGTCTATAAAGTGGAACTCTACCTCACCTTCTGAAGATGATACTGCATGTGGTAATTTAGGAACAAATGGTAATTTGGGAACAGAAAGAATCAAGAAGTCCACTGTGTTGGAGAGAAGATAAGGCATCATAAATACAGTCAGCTGTATTAGGTAATCAAGTAGATTAAAGAGAAGAGCAAGCCAGGTGGTATCACCCATGTAGCCTGATCCCCTCCCAGGTTTTACTGGTTCTGCTGCCAGAGGAAGGGTCTAGCCCCAGTCTTTGAAGCCATCAATGCCTCCAGCCAAACCAGAGACCACCAGGTGTAGACATCCAGCAAAATCTGATATTGATAATTAACTATCCATAAGTGTCTAAGTATCAGTAGTCAACCATTTTCAAGTTTTCCTGAGATGTATTTTGCATGCCATATTGGAACACAGTAAAGATCAAAGAAGTAAAGTGATTTTTGACATTTATAATGAAAAAAGTGTATTACAAAAATTCCAAGTGCCAACTGCACACACTCTGGCTCACCATATGAGAAGTATATGGTTATACAAATAATGCTTAATGAACAGTTTCAAATTCAGTGTTTGCCATATAAGAATGACATGATTATGACAGTCAAAGATTTATGCTTTGCACTCTGACACATACTCATAATAGTAAACAGTTCTGCAAAATGCATGGGCGACTCGTGCCTCTTGAGTCAGGAGGGGTACGTTGGAGAGAATGAAGCTCCATCAATGAAGCTGATATTTCCCCTATATTTTTCTTAGATTTTTCAAATTAAGAAGATCATATCTATGGTGGACCTACTACCTCTGAAGCTGCACTGTGACTCAAAGTAAACATGGTCAGTAAAGATCTGAAGTCTTCTGAGTACCACCCAGGCAATGATCTTTCTAACAAGGCTTAATAATGAAATACCACAACAGCTTTTGCAACCACTGTGGTTGCTTTTATTCTTGTACATAGTGACTATAGGAGCATCTTGCATATCTTGTGCTACTGTCCCTACTGTCCAGCAGTGGGTAAGAATCTTGTATAGGTGGGGAAGAACCACAGGTTCCCACCCTTGATCACTTCCAAAAGAATGACATCTTCTTCTAGGGCTTTAGCAGTGACCAGATTGTCTATGGCCTTACTTAGGTACTCACCAGTTGTAATATCATCAAACTCTACAAGGACAGACAAGAATTCCCAATAGATTTAAGTGTTGTGTCAGTGATATCACTTTGCCTTAAACAGAAGCTCTAATAACAGAGGCAGAAAGAGAAGAGTATCAAGAAGTGATGCTATAGATGTTTACTGGATTTTATTTTTGTTCAAGGTAAGCAGATTTTATCACTGCTTAAAAAAAAAATCTTCCAAAGATATAGGAACATTTTTAAATCTTCCAGGCCAGAGCTTTCGGTTTGCATCTCATATCTCAATATCTTTATTGGAAAATCTAGAGGTATGCATGATATTAATGTGGTGGCCACAGTTTGTATAATTTACTTTGGAAACATGCGTGTTTGTTTATGCTTTCCCAGGGGCAAATAAAATCAGTTGCCAAAAACAGTGAACACAGGTTACCATTTTCTCAATAGCTTGCTGGTCAGCCTCTTACAGTTTAAATGTGTATTAATGTTACTTCCCATGTAACAAATGTAATTTTTTTAGATGTACCAGAGTCTCTTAGGCAACAATCTAAATAAATCAGGAAAAGATTTTAGTCTTCTTCTAAGACAAGCTAAACAGCATTTACGCCAGTTTTAGCACTGAAATAGCCTACCTCATGCAGAAGCCACAAAACCACTTAGGTGTCTAGAATGGGGTGCACTTTCACTTTGACCTGTAAAAGTCCCTGGCAACTTTATATAGACTTCTGTGCCTTCTCAGAAGTTAGAGTGGTCACCTAGATGTCTAATTCCCACAGTCCATCATACAAGATGTCTGCATATCACTCAACTTCCAAATCAAACCTACAGTTCTGGTCTAAATCTTCCAGGTCTTCAGTAGTGTTTGATCAGACAACCCTAGAGACAACTTCACCATCCTCCACCTACTATGTCAGCCATGGTGAATGAAGACATAAATAAGGAACTCCTAAAACAAACTTCCTGGAACCTATTAGCAGGTCAGTCTAAATACTGGGTCCTTAGATGCTGAACATACATTACCCACAATAATACAGAAAAAGAAAGAAGGAGAGGGTTGTGAGAAATGATCAGGTTTAAATAGACATGTGAGAGCAGAGACAAATTCAGTGGTTATTATGGATGTTGTAAAATTGCACTATCACGTCTTGATAATATGATTGGGAGATTACAAGTTGATAAAATAGTGAGATGCACATCCTATCCACATTCAGAGCCATATTTGCTTGCTTTATACACAGATATTTCAGTGTGTGTGTGTGTGTGCGCGCGCACGTGCACATACATGCACACGCACACACACAGAAAGAGAAAACCCAGCTCCACCTTCTAGATCTATTTAGGTTCAACTGTATACTGCCACTATACAGTTCCAGAGTCTATGTTGATTTATAGCTGCTGAGGACTGAACCTGTACATTTGAAGTGGCTGTGCATGTGTAAGCAAACAGAAATTGAGAAGCGAATCAGGTTCTGTGCTTTTCACATGTAATATTCAGAGTAGTTAATTGAGGACAAATTACAAGGTCATTTTATGCCCCCAGTTAGCCCTAAGCATCTTCACTGAACACTATTCTGAAAAAAAGGTGATGAAGAATGAAAAGGAAAATGTTCTTACTTTCTATTAGTTATGCATTATCAATAAATTTTATAAGCCCTGGCATATGTTTGTTCATGTATTTGTTAGATAGAGTGCATGCTTCATGAACTATGCTTATTTTTTTAAATTACTGAGTTTCCTTCTTAAAATTAAACATATTTTATAAAATATTATTAACAATGCACCTGATTTATTAGATGAGTCCTGTTCTGCTGCTTGACTGAATTGTGATGGATTACATGAATGCTTATTTTTCCTATTATTGGAACATAAATCTGTATTGTAGTTGGTCCCCCGAAAGTCAGATCTTATTCTTTTGTTTTGGATTGCTTCTGGATTTATAGGCAGGTCATTCTTTGCATTTCTTTCTTCTTCGCTTTTTTCAGTGCAGCACCTTCCAGTATTTTGTGCTCCACCTACTCCAACAGTCATTCCCTCATCTGCTTGTAGAACAAATATATATCAGAATATCTGTGGTACACCAGTTATGAATTTCTGAAACATTATGTCTATTAACTGATATTGAAACTTAATGATAAAGTGTTTATGATGTCTAGGCAACGTAGAATAGTCTAAAGTTCTAGAAGTATTCTTCTATTACAACATTTTACTCAGTCTCCACTGTACTCTTCTTGGCTAAGACTGAATTAACAAAAGTTCAAATATTCCTCTAAAAAAAGTGGTGGTTTTATTCCAGCTTTAGCAAAGCTAGATTGTTCAAGAATTTAATTGTAAAGAATGTAATCAATACCAGTGTTACTGTTATATTTTGATAGTTAAAAGTAATGGAGGCCAGGATACAATCAATTAGTTTTGAAATGATGTTGCAGTCATGATAGCCCAGAAAACGTGAGGGGCTTAGATATTTTTCAGGTGATCTCTTTTATTGAACCAGCTGTATAGAGAGATCTTAGATTAGGCTTCCTCAGGTCTGGAAAAGGAGCAGACAGCTTGAGCTCAGTAAATTGGCTTGTACAACCCTCCCCCATTCCTCTAAGCAGACTGTTTCTATTTACATAGAGAGTTTTACACAGACCTTTGTTCTGCCTGTTACTTAAGTCAAGCTGTGTCTCCTTCTTTACTAGAACTAAGGAACAGTACATAACTAAGGGTCAGGGGTGTGCAATTCAGGCAACTGACCTGGGCATCAACTTGGGCTAGGGACAGACATTAATTGACTCAATCTTTGCATGTTAGTCTAACCTGCCTAGGGTGAACCAGTTTGCAATTGCACAGACATTCACTCTGGACTGAGGAAATGCAAGCACATGCCTGCAGCGGCTTAGGCTAGAAGCTGCAGTGTGGGGGGTGGGAGTGCTAGAGCAGCCTTCTCATCCCTTCCACAGTGCTGAGATGCAGGGGGATATGGCCAGGCCCTAGCAAGACACTCTGATTAGGGAGGAGTGTAAACCCCCACCCTGCTTGCACTTTTCCAGGCTTTTCCCCACTCGCTGTTCAAGAGGAGTATTGCCAGACCTCAGCACCTGGCTAGCACTCTGAGACAAAGGGAGGGTGTGAAGTGCATGCATCTGTTGATGATACTGAGCTTTTCATCCTGTCTGCAAACCTGACAGGCAAGAGAGCCAGCAGGAGGCCGATAGCACAGTGTTTATCCGTCCATCACCAAAATAAAAGCCTCTCACATTAGTTCAAGCTCTTCTAAAACAGCTTTTTGCAAGGAAGGAATGGAGGAACATTACCAGCTGACTTGTTGATTAGTCCCAAAAAGCCCTAAGCGGATACTGTTCTGTTTGCCTGTCCCAATGAAATTGGCGATACACACACAGATTAGCTAGCATACCACATGCCTAGGGTCCACGGGGCTGGGGTTCATGCTGTGGAAGATGAGAGGAAGGGGGGGAACCCTGCTTGAGCAGCAAGCAGCAACGGGGGGCAGGGAGAAGCCAGGCAGACCCTGCTGTGCCTTCAGTCTCTGCCAGAGCTCTGGATAGGGATCAAAGGGGTGGGGCCAGCCCTGTTCTCTGGAGTAGACAGCTCAGCCCAGGGCTGCAAACATCTGGGATGCTGGGGGACTCTGAATTGGAAAAGATTTTGAGAGCTTCGATGATTCAGGCAGTCCCTGCTGGCTGCAGCAGGGAGCTGAAGCCAGACTAGAAGCTGGTATGTAGGGGCACAGGAGGGGGGACTGGAGGGGAGGGAACCATGGGGGGATCCCTATCAGGCCCTATCCCCTGCCTGGTACCCCAGCCCCCTGACCCCCACCCACTCCCCAACCCCACCATGGTTGCCCTG